TATGCATGCAGTATAAATATTAAATAAAAATCCTTACAAATCAATAAGGTTTTTCAATATCTGAGAAATTAAGTTTTCAAATTTTTGACAAGTGAATTACAACTACCTTATGTCTAAAAACGTAAAAACTAGAAATAACTAAGAACTTAAATATACAATTTACAAAATATAAAATATATCACCCCCAGCGCCGCCGTCAGGAATGGTGCCCAATAGGCTGGCAGCATTTCCACGTTGGATAGCGAGGCTAATCCGTTGGCCGAGGTAGCTGCCAGCCTTTTGATCACCGGTCACCTCGGTGAGTCTCTTAGACAATTCCTTAAAGAAGGAACGAGCACTTGGACCCCATGGTCCCATGGTCTCCACACCAAATGGCACAAATATGTAGCTCTCATTGAGAGCTGAATATTTGCGCCGCTTGGAGCACTCGGCGGAGGCCGCCGCCGCGCCTGCAGCCAGGGAGGTACTACTTGTATGGCACGGAGCAAGCGTATCCACGCAAGTTGCGTCCCACACAAGAGGACGACCCTGCTTCCAGGGAATGAGCGTCATTCCGTCAGGTCTCTTGCCATCGTCTCGGAAGATGCCGCTGGGCTCTAGGGCCGCTGGCACATTGACTGCAACAAGAGCTCTGCGGATGACGTCATTGATACAGGCGTGACGGGAGACTCGACCAGCGCTCATTTGGCATGAGAGACCATGGTGTCCCAACTCACCGACGCTAGTTCCGCAACGACAACGATGGGGGTGATTTGTCTTGACGCCGAGTCTGAGCGAAATGGCAAGTGATAGAGAACTTCTGTCAAGCAGAGTCCCGATATTGGCTGAAGGAAGAGTTTGCAGCCAGTAACCAGACTCTACTTGAAAGACAGCTAGGAGGCGAGCACGCTCAGCTGCGTTTTCAGAGGAAGCTAGAAGATCACTCTGAAGACGCAAACAGAGTGGCTCGTCCCATTGCCTCTGTGAAAATAAGGAGGAAGGTATATCTACTCCCGGGCATGCCCTGCACCAAGCATTTCTGGCCTCTGCAAGGTGAGCCGGCTCCACTACGCCTAAAGAAGGACATAGTATTTTATTAAAAAGCTCGGCTGTACCATTTGCAGAAGACAGAAAAGAGGGAAGGGCAATATGTGAAATATGGCGAGTACCAAGTCCTCCGAAACGAACAGGGAGAGAGGCCTGCTTCCAGGCGTTATCAGAAAATGAACAATTTAGAATTTTGGAAAGTGTATCCCTGAGCGAACTGTCAATAGATGACAGTAGCCCTGGAAAAAGCCAAAAATGAGTACTACGTAAAAAATATATGAATTTTGGGGCAAAAGCGCAAAAACGTATTAAATACAAAGCCATGTGAGGATTAATTTTTAACATTTTTTCGGAGGACTGCTGAAATTTAGAAATTTGTTCATCAATAAAAATCGGAATAGCATCATCAAATATGGGGGACCCTAGGAGACGGAGTGATTTATTATCTAGAATTTTAATATTAGGAGCTAAAGCCGAAAATTCGGTAATAATGCGTTGTAACTGATCCTGTGAAAATTTTGATTCTGGTATAAATAGTTCGCATTTTGAATAATTTAGATCAAGGCCAATATTTTTAAATTTATCAATAATTATGTGAAAATCTGAAAGAACTGTTGAAATATCGCCAGCGATAGTTCCGTCATCAAGGTACCACACATTAAATTTTGAATTTAGCGAATCAATAATAGGTTGTATTGCCAAACTAAAGATAGCGGGCCCGAGAGGATCGCCTTGCTGACAGCCAACAGATGAATGCAACAGGTTGTTTTTAAAAATAAGTTTAGTCGGTTCGCTGTAGCATTGCCAAAGATATTTATAAATAGTGGGCGTTTTTTCTTTAATTACTGTAAGCAAGGCACCTCTATCTACGGAGTTGAAGGCATTCTTGACATCCACCTTCAGCACCACCTCCGCAGCGTCAAGTGATAGAAAGGTGCGAAGAGCGTGGACGGCTGCTTCACAACCACCCTTGACGCCAAAACCAAGCTGCACCGGTTGGAAAACAGCTGAAACTGTCGGTAAAATATGTTGACAGCAAATTTTGGATGCTATACGACGAAGGGTGGAGCCAACAGCTATAGGGCGGATACCGCCATCTTTTTTCTTTAGAGCAATTAAGTTGGCCCCGTAAAGGATCTCGACAATGTCTTTAGGTACTTCGCCGGATAGCATTAAGTTTACCAAAAGAGTGATATTATGTAATAGGACTCTGCCAGCGTCACCTACTGAGATTGAAAGGAGGTCTTTTAAATGTTGTGGTGACAAACCATCTAGACCACTGGCAGAGCCACTTTTGAAGGAGTATATCGCGGCTGATACGTCAGAATCTTTGCTTATTAGATAAGCAAGTGTTGTTTCAGGTGGCGAAGGAAGGAGAAGAGTTGGTGCTGGAGGTGGGTGCTTGTCTTCAAGAGCACTAAGGGTCTCCTGGCAGTTGACGGCGACAACATCGTGGCTGAACAGTAGGTTTGCGGCTCCTCGGAGATCGCCATCGCTAATTTTTGATTCAATTAATTTTATAGAACTATTAGATTTTGGAGGTCGAGAGGGAGGAAAGACTAAAGAATTCACAGAATGATTTAGGCGGCAGTTCTCCTTTATTTTTTGTGTTAGTGATGAACTAGTACTATTTGCATTAATATGTAAAATTCTATAGGAAAAAGTTAGAAGTTCTGCCCAACTCTCAGGCGTGTTTACTCTAAGCACACGTTCGATACATTGTGATAAAGAAACAGCGACTGAGGGCCGTGCAGAACGAGGTATTCTTTTTATAACTGGAAGTGTATTTTTGAGATTACCAAGAGTTTTGCAAAGTGGTTCGTTACCTGAATTTAGAGATTGCGAAACTGCTGGCACAGAGGCAGAAGATTTATGCAGCCTGCCAATGTGTATATTTAAGCCCCGGTTACCTTTAAAGAACCGGGGTTGTGGGCACTTAGGACATTGTATCAGTTGTGCGTCGTCACTGCCAGGGACGGGATTTGCCGACATTCAATCAGAAAGAGCGTCAAGACTACACTAGAAAATATTAAAATGAAAATAACTCTATAAACTTATTAGAAAAAAAACATACAAAACAAACATGAATATTATAAAAACACAACAAATTTCAAATGTCAATATCATTAATTATCACGTCCGTCAAGGTTGCTTGGCTGCCGTCACAATTCGAGCATTCTATTGGCTATGAAGAAGCGGGCACCTAGCAACAGGCGCGGCTGTTCAAGGCGTCCTTAGAAACAATCACTTGGCAAATTGACTGCAAAACAGCTGATTTTATGGAGAGAAATTCCAAAGATAAAGACCACAGCACAACTTGCCCACATGCGGGCACATGAATAAAACCTTGGGCTGCCAAAAACTGGTCTTCTTTTTCCCAATATACGTTGAAAACAATTTTTAAACAATATTATATCTGGACGATGATGATGACGGTTCTGTCATTTTTTTTTTTTTTTTTTTTTCAATAAGTATAATAATAATTATAGCTGGTACCAGGTAGAACTTAGTGATGTTACATGTTTCAACATCTATCTTAGTTGTGGTTCGAAATTGACAAAGAATCCGGCTATTACCTTAGTTTAATTCATTATGAAACTCCTATGCGAATCTACTGACCATATGCGTGGGAGCTAGCATTGTGCGCATAGTATTAAGACTATTTTCTAACTAGCTCAGATAAGCATTTATTTGTCGAAATATTATAACACAAATTATCTACAGCTGTATTGCCTAGTACCCGATTAGGATTTTCTTTGATATTTTTTATTGCCTTTAAAGGCAGACGTGTACCCTTAGCACGAACGAATATCGAATTGGAGTAGTTGAATTCGATCTTGATAAGCTTCTTTTTTTTTAAGTGTGTATGCTGTTGGTCGCAGATGACTTTTACAGCGTCACCGGGTTTCCGGGACCTCAAGCTGAGAATTGGCGAGTGCCTCCAGAGGTATTTCAGGTGGATGGCATCTCCCCACAGGGGGATTCTCCTCTCCGTCTGGGGCCTCTAGACCACTCGAACCTGAGGGGGACTCGATACGCTTCAAATGTCAAGAAGTTTTGTATACAAGTTTCACCATCAAATGACACCCTTTGATCCAATAGCATGTAAATGACTCTATTTGATTCAATAATTTTGTAAAATATGACCTTTTGAAACCCACTGTCTAAAAATGTTACCTTATGAAACATTCAGTATGAAAAAAAAATCCACACAAAACCTTTTTATTTCTTATACATATAATTCTCCACAATCAGGTTACTAGTTTGAAGCAACTTATGACTTTTCAAACGTTTTTCTTAAGAATATGTCACTTTTCAATTACTGTGACTGAATAAAAATATAACTTTTTGTTGCGGAAGTAGCAATTCACATCGATTTTTCTATGAAACTAAGTTTTTGAACAAAACCTTGGGGGTTATTGATATAACATTTTGAGCCGATTAAAATAAAAAAAAAACGAATAGAGCAAAATACGTAAATTTCACTTTTTATTCCTAACTTCCTCAAATATTCGAATTCGATATTGGTTCGTGTTAGTTCGATAAGGGTTCTGATGTTAAGAGGTCACCGTCGCCCACGGACATCAGTTATACTATTGACTAGCCATGCCGATGCCTTTTGTGAAATTGATTTTTATAAAACAACATTCTATAGATAACGGGTCAGCGCGTAAAACCCGTCTCAGTAAATATAGCCTCAATGGAGGCGTGAGATCTTATTTTAAATTAGTTCAGATAATACAAAACGAGGTAACTCGCTGGCCGAAGACTGGTAAAAATATTTTATTTTGGGTCATTAGGGTGATTTTTCCTTTTTTCAACTTTATCGTTTTTTTCCAAGTATCAAATATAATTTATAAAAGGAACAAAAGTTCGTTTTATAAGATAAAAGGTCGTATGTGCGAAATAACATTATTCCTTTGTGAGATAGTTGTTTGTTTTGTTTTTTTTTTTATTTTGTTGGTTCAACTTACCTGAATCCCCTACAATTGGTGAGACCACCACTGCGAGCAGCGCGAACGCCAGCCAGCAGCGCGCGCCGAAACCCACGCCCATAGTCTGTGATACAATCTGTAAATTTAAAAGTAAACAAATTACAACCAAAAGCAATCACTTTCATTTTTATTAATAGTATGTAGGATTAGTTGTATTTGATAGCAGTTTTTATATGTATTACTTGCGGCCTCCCGCGACTTCGCCCGTGTGAAGTTTTGTTATTTGAGAATCCCTCAGGAATCTTACATTTTTTTATAATATAAAATAACCTAAGTCTCATTCCAGGTAACAGTACATATGTATGCCAAATATCATCCTAAGCCGTCCAGCCGTTTTGCGTAATTGAGTAACAAACATAAAAACTTTCACAGTTATAATATTAGTAGGAATAATAACCTCTGTAATTATTTCTCTAAAAGGGCACTCTATTTTTTGGCGCAGAAAGCCGAAATTGTTCACTACTACGAACAAAGAATTATTTCTTTATGTATATATATGAAGTAAATCCATATGTGCTAATACTTTTGTATTTATTTGCGAAAACCAGTTTGACTTATGCAAATATTTATTAAAAAAATTACGTATAATCCTTTGGAATGTATTCTCATGTATTAAATATATTTTATTTAGGCCTTATACAAATACTGCAGCAAATTGTAAAAATAAAACATATTTTCTACTAATCTCCAGTAAAAAAATAATACCCAATTCCTCAATAAATTTGAAATACTATACGGTGAAAAGGATACAAAATCACACAGCATTATCCGTGCGGTGACGGAGAAAGAATACCACTCACCGCCCCTTCACTTCCCGCGGGTGTCGTAAGAAGCGACTGAGGGATATCAGAGCTTCCATCTGCTCTTCTGGTGGTAGGGTGCCTAACACCCGCCTGGTTTGTTACCACCGTACGCATGGTGAAAAACCCGTGAAGTGCTTCACGCGCGTTTCGGGATCAGCCAGCGTACAACCAGAGCTCAAGTGGAGATTGCCGCGGCAGATTCGATCCAGTGGAGGCATCCGTCGAACCGATGCCGGGAGGACTGCATCGACCCACCGGCCAGGGAGACCCGTAGAAACGGCTGTCCCGCTGGCCACCCGTGGCACAGTACAGGGGCCCGAGCGTTGCTAACCAGTTCGTGAGGCTGCCCTATCATGTCACGCATAATCTCGGGGTGGACCGTCGTGCCGGTTGGTGACCGGGGCGTGGGGTCCCGGCGGCCACTCCCGGGAGGATGCGGGGGCCCTTCCGTCCGTTGGGTCGGCGTATCTCTTTCGCAGGCAGTTACTCGGGAAAACGTGCCTCCATATATTTGCCTGTCTTTGTCGCGACTAACTCCACTCGATTCACGTCTCTCAACTTTTTTCTCATGATGGCAGCCCGTAAAATAAAGTTTGGTTGTACAGCGGTGCACACCCCCACGCCTTCCGCGCTGTTTGAGGTTGAGTTCTGTAATATACGCGGACTCCACTCTAACCTCAATGCTGTCCACCACCATCTTGAGACAGCACGGCCAATACTATTGTTTCTCACGGAGACACAAATACTTCCGCCCGCTGACACAGGCTACCTTAAATATCCCGGCTACGCGCTTGAAGAATCCTTCAAAGCAAAAGCCGGTGTATGCCTGTATGTTCGGGCGGATGTTTGTTGTCGCCGTTTGAGCTGCCTGGAAGACCCCTCCTTTTCCATGTTGGCGGTACATGTAGACTCTGGTCTTCAGGCCAGAGTCTACGTGTGCCTCTACAGATCTCACACCGGCGACGCTTCGACCACTCGACTGTTTGACCACCTCAGTAGGGTAGCAGATGATGCCCAGGCGCAATTTCCCAACGCAGAACTGGTGTTTTTGGGAGACTTTAACGCCCACCACGGTTTGTGGCTTGGCTCTTCCAAAACTGACCATGCAGGGATCTCTGCCCATGCTTTCGCTCTCACGCATGACTTGACCCAACTGGTTGATAAGCCCACCAGGATCCCAGATATAGCAAGTCAAGCGCCTTCTTTACTAGACCTTCTGCTTACGACCCATCCGCAGGAGTATCAGGTCGTGGTTCGAGCCCCGCTGGGTTCATCAGACCATTGCCTGATATCTGTCAAGGTGCCACAGGCCAAAACCTCTCGACCATTAGTGGTCAAACGCAGGGTCTGGCACTATGGGTCGGCAGATTGGGATGGTATGCGCGATTACTTTGCGTCCGTCCCTTGAAAGCAGCGCTGCTTCAATGAAAAGGACCTATCATCCAGCGCCGTTGCCATTACTGAGGAGATCGTAATGGGAATGGAGTATTACATTCCACATTCTGATCTCATCAGTAAGGGCACACGTAACCGCTGGTTCAATCGCGATTGTGCCGATGCTGTTTCTCGTAAGCAGGCGGCATATCGCGCTTGGATCAGAGGCCGCGCTCTTAAGGATCCCGGGGTGAACTCACTGAAAGCTGCCTATAATAGTGCTTCCAAGTCTTGTAAGAAGGCTTACATCAGAGCGGATGCCCAACGTGTAGCACGCACTGGCCACGAATTGTTAACGCACCCTACGGGCTCCCGTAGTTTTTGGCGTTTGGCTAAGGCCGTGCAACACAACTTTTGCCAGCCCTCGCTGCCACCTCTGCGATGTCCAGATGGGTCACTAGCTCATGAGCCGCAAGAGAAAGCCGATTTGCTGGCAAAGCTCTTTGCGGCTAACTCCCGAATCAGTGATTGCAATGCACTGCCACCTACACTACCTCATTGTGGCACTACGATGCATGACATTAAAATCAGGCAGCGTGATGTTCGTGCGGAGTTGCAATCACTCGACGTCCGGAAAGCTAGTGGACCTGATGGCATCCCAGCAGTTGTTCTTAAACATTGTGCAGCGGAATTGTCTCCCGTGCTTACGCGCCTGTACCAACTCTCTTACTCTTTGGGGCGTGTGCCGGAAGCTTAGAGAGACGCCAATGTGCAGCCGGTGCCCAAAAAAGGGGACCGCTCAGACCCGGCCAACTATCGGCCGATAGCTGTCACCTCAGTGTTGTGTAAAGTCTTAGAAAGGGTCCTTAACAACCATCTGACCCGCTACCTAGAAGATTACTCTCTGATTCACGATCGTCAAAACGGATTTAGACCGAATCGATCGACGGGTGACCTTCTAGCGTACGTGACACACATATGGGGTGAAGCTATAGACAAGCGGGGAGAGTCTCTGGCTATTAGCCTTGACATCGCCAAGGCTTTTGACAGGGTCTGGCACAAAAGCCTTCTCTCCAAGCTGCCCGCATACGGTCTGCCTGCTCAGCTCTGCGCCTGGGTAGCTGACTTCCTGCATGAGCGTAGAATTCGCGTCCTTACGGACGGATGTAGTTCACAGTTCATGTCAGTGAATGCCGGTGTTCCTCAGGGCTCCATTCTATCCCCCACACTCTTTCTGCTGCATATCAATGATTTGATTCCACTTGCGAATATTCATTGCTATGCAGACGATAGCACAGTGCATGCGAGATACTTTGGACACGCGGCGGCTGGAAAGGTAGAAACCATGGAGAAACGGGAGAATCTTGTCGTTGAGCTCAATCGGGCTTTGGACCACATTTCCGAATGGGGTACCAGGAACTTGGTTGAGTTCAATGCCAAGAAAACTCAGGCTTGCGCTTTCACGGCAAAAACATCGCCATTCCTTCCCCTTCCCTCTCTTCAGGCACAACACTGGCGCTACAGAGCTATATTACCATGCTCGGTATGGAGGTTCGCTCAGACCTAAATCCAAAGGACTACATCGAGACCTTGATCAAAGCAGCTTCACGCAAACTCGGAGTCTTGAACAAGGTGCGGCGTTTTTTCACGCCCGATCAACTGTGCTTGTTGTACAAAACGCAAGTGCGGTCCTGCGTGGAATATTGCTCGCACCTCTGGGATGGCTCCGCTAAGTACTTACTCGATGCCTTGGATAGGTTGCAGCGGCGCGCTACCCGCATCATTGGCGATGAAGAGGTAACTAAGAAACTCGAGTCTCTACAATTACGCCGTGATGTGGCATCATTAAGTGCATTCTACCGACTATACCACGGCGAGTGTTCTGAGGAGGTATTCTCGCTTATCCCTCCATCACTTTTCTTCAGAGGACCACGCGCGCTGGCCTACGTTGCCACCGACTTACTGTGGCCACTATTCCTACACGAACAAAGAAATTTGGCGACTCATTTCTTTGTCGTACTATTCGTAAGTGGAATTCTATGCCCGCGCACGTGTTCCCTCCTTCCTATAATCTGGGGTCCTTTAAGAGAGGCGTGAAGAACCATTTTTGCGGGCCGGCAAGGTGAGGATGGTTGGTGTAACAGTTTGTAACTGCTCTACCAGCTATCTTCGCGTTTGGACTTTATCACCACTTAACATCAGGTGGGGTAGAGTCATTTGCCTACCTAATCATATAAAAAAAAAAGCATAAAAAACATAATATTTGTAATATTTTTAACTGAAAACTTTTGCGATCAAGAAGTTAATCTTCTATACAGGGTTTTACAAAAATACAAATAAAGCTGGAAGGAGGTCGCAGTACGTCATATAAGGAGTCTCTAATTTTCTTAAAATATTTGCATGAAATTTTTACTTTTTTATAAAAGCAGTTATTTTTAATGATTAATAAAAATATCAATCATTTTAAGACACGTCACTAGTTCGAGGATCATTAAAAATTACTGTTTTTATAAAAAGTTAAAACTTAAGATATTTTAAGAAAATTGGAGAAGATTCTTTATATGATGTACTTCAACGCCCTTCGAGCTTTATTTGTATTTTTGTAATACCCTGTATATATAAAAATCAATTCCTGTTCGTTAGTCACGCTAAAACACGAGAACGACTGAAACGAACGGATTTTTCTTATCTTGGTCTTGAAATTTTCGTGGGAGGTCTAGGGAAGGTTTAAAAGGTGAGAAAAATATGGAAAAATTGCGAGGTCTTCCTCATATTAGTAAAAACGTCAATTTAATTTTCCCATATAAACTGTTCTATCTTCTTTCCTGTCAAACATTTGACGTTCGTCCCTTTTGGTACGGTAGACTCGGGTCCGTCATTTCTTCCAAATTATTTTACC